CCATCTGCTGACAGAACAGAGCCTTGGGGGCAAGCTGCACATGCTCAATTTGGTGTGTATTGCTAGAGAGTTTTTTTTTTTGGGGGGAACCGTGCATATGTTCAACACTGGGCCAATCAGCACTGTCCAGACAGAGGGTCAGGGGTTATGCAGCCTCACAGGACAATCAGGGGAGAATGAAAACTATATACTCTAACCAGTGCTCTGCTGGACACTGAAAGAAGTCACAAGACTGCTATATACTGCTGATAAGAAAAGGTATTTAGCAGTTTATATGTACTAAAATAATTGCATTTGCATTTTGTGTGTACAGTGGGAGACCAGATATAGTGAATGCAGGCTCCTGGGTTTAGCAACACTGTAAATGGTCAGACCCCTTTAAACATATTTTTATTTCAGGCGGAGTTTACCTGTTCTTGTCTCTTTCAATGCCAGGGTGACCCCCCCCCCCCCTTCCTCCTCTCTCTCCCTTCCCGCAACCCTCTGCAGAGTAACCAACTCTCTCCAACAGAAAATAGCTTCAAAGGGGTATTATTTTATTTCCTAATTACTTTAGAGTTGAATTAATCTTCAAATACGCACCTCCCCTCCACCAATGCAACATCCATGAGCTTACTTGGTGGCGCTGGCATCTACTCTCAAACTTCTACTGGGTTTTCAGCCATCTTGATTGGCTGGACCGGCATGACATACCTCCCATGCATGCCCACAAACGTTTATCCATTGTGGCAGTGGGTCTGTGGAGGATGTACACTGAGCTGTTCATGCACAGCTCAGTGCACATTCTAAATCTAAGGCTACGTGTACTGTACACTGGAACTGCTGTAGACATAAACTCAACTGGCAGCAGACAAACGCTAAACATGGCAAAAACACGTGTGAACGCAGTACCATGTTTAGCAGCATTTAGTACTTGGATGTTTATTCATTTCATTGGCCTGCGTATATGCCATCTGTACTTAAACAAAAAAAGCTAACAAAAAAATACAAAAGCATGTATAAATTGTACTTATTCCCCCTGATGAAGCCATGTGACCGGTGGCGTAACGCGTAGGGGAGGGGCTTTGACGTCACGACGCTCGATGGTTCCATAATGACACCAGCTGGCAATTTTAGGATTTTCACCACTGCCAAAAACTCAGGAGGATACATTTTGTGCACAAAGCGGTTTATATACAGATATTATGTGAGTGCATTACTTTTATTAATAAAATGTTTTTAAAAGGATAAAACACTATGATTGATTATTCCTCTATATAAACAACTGTGGAAGGAGAGCCTATCGATCGAGTGAAGGGGGATCCCAAACAGCAGGATACCATCCCATTCACAATTTGGCCCATTTAAAGGGACACAAGCATTATATGACCTCATCCGTTCCGTTCTGATTGCGCAACGGATCAAATTCAAAATCCTAACAATGACGTACAAAGCTGTCCACCATACTGCCCCGAACTACATCACTGACCTAATATCCAAGTACCGCCCAGCACGCACACTCCGCTCCTCACAAGACCTCCTTCCCTCTAGTTCCCTGGTCTCCTCCTCCCATGCCCGCCTCCATGACTTCTCCAGGGTGTCACCCATCCTCTGGAACTCCCTGCCCCAACCCATCAGACTATCACCTACTCTCCTCTCCTTTAGGCGCACCCTGAACACCCATCTCTTCAGGGAAGCCTACCCCACCCCCTGCTAACTTGCCGACCTCCACTCTTCCTACCACTCCATCCCCCACAGCTATCTCCTCCTGTGCCACCATCCCCTCCCTCCTAGATTGTAAGCTCGAAAGAGCAGGGCCCTCGATCCCCTCATGTTTTGCATTGTATTGGTATTGTTCTGTCACATGTTCTGTCCCCCTTTGTAATGTACAGCGCTGAGCGAACCATTGGCGCTTTATAAATACTGTATAATAATAATAATAACAACGGTTTGGTCATATTTCTGAGACGAGAGCACAACCGGTGGGGGGGGGGGGGGAGGGGCACACAAATTTAAGTTATTTTCACACAGGAGATCAATTAAGAAGCACTGGATATTCATTTCATTTTAAAGGAACACGTATTTCTGAAGAAGTATATATGGACTTTTTTTGACATATATATGGACATTGCTTTTAGTTACTGATATTGGTTGATGTATTTATTTAATATATTATTTTTGGCACTTATTATTAATAGAAGTACATGGATGTATTTATTATTTTAATTTAGCATTATTGAGTGAAGCGCAGCACATTTTTTGTTATTTAAAAAATGGGGCAGACTCCATAGACCACTTGTATGTTTGTTTCTGCTGTCGCTTTTTTATGTTTTTTTTTTTGTGACTTTACCAAACGAGAACCACATACACTGTTAGAAATTCGTACATACGAGAACAATTTTCCATCTGGCTCCTTCAAATTTTCCTGTTACTGCAGTCAAAAATGGATGCCGATTTGACCCCACTAATGATTAATAAAATCAATGAAAATTCCTACAACATTCTTACAACTAAAAATGCTGGACAAAATTCTACTAGTGTATACATAGCTTTACTTCTGCTTCAACCCTTTCGCTGCCAGAGCAGTTTTTGCATTTTTGGCACAAATGTTTAAAAAAATCATTTTAGGCCTGAAGATTACACAAAGCCCCCAAAACATTACAGATTTTGTGAACGCAGACACCCTAGAGAATAAAATAGCGGTAGTTTTATGTCACACAATATTATTGCAAAGGTCTACGAAAAGCAAAATTTCAGTAGAACTCACACTAAAGTGAATTTTAGGGCAAGCAAACACTATAAATTACCCACATTTGTGGTAAAATATAAAAGACAAGGTTGTGCCGAGTAAATAGACACCCAACATGCCAAAGCTTAAATTTGTGTGCATCTATGAAATTGTGTCAAACTCCAGTACCCTATATTTTCTATAGACAACGCTTCAAAAGCCCCTATAGGTCATCAGTTTGGTGTTACGGGGGAGGTCTGGGGCTAGAATTATTGCTTTCTATCCAGCGTGATATGTAAAATGTGTATAGCAATCAACATTTTCATGCGTAGGCTCCCTAACGTGTGCATTTACGTTTGTGTTTGTTTTCATGTGGGGGTGGGTGGAGTGCCTCAACAGTTTTTTTTTTTGGGGGGGGGATGTTATGTGCTTGGGTGTAACTTTATTTTTTTTAACAAGAAAATTTTTTTTTTACGTAACTTTTTTTTCTTCATCACATAGGGGGATACAAAGTCCCCTATGTGATGATTTTTTTTTTGGTGACAGGTTCTCTTTATTGAGACGTACAGTCTAAAAGACCCTGCATGTCTCCTCTGTGCTCCATTAGATGTGTTGCAATGCAATCCCGCATTGCAATACATCTTTCCCCAGCTATTCTAGCTGGGAAAGTGACAGCCGTGACCTGGAAGGTGACGTCATGGACATCACCTTCCAGGTCACACAAAGAAGGGGAGGGGACCCTTGTTCACCCTTCTCTCACCTTTCCACATGCCATGGCTCTCTCCTGGGCCCGCAGATGGGCAAGCAGAGCTTCCACCTAACTGGGAGGAGTCTGCCTATCAGTTTTTATACACAAGCCCCCTGCTGTCAGGTCCGCATGGCATCACATACTCACCTGCCCAGTAGATCCAGCTATGTCTTTGCTGATCAGTTGCCACCCCACCATCTTCTTCTCTATTATCATTGGTAGCTGGCTGTCTCATCTTGGTCCTTGCAGCAGGCCCCTGATGAGGCACTATATTATATTGATATAGGGGGCAGTATAGTACAATATGGAGGTCATAATGATATGAGAGGCAGTATAGTACAGTATGGGGGTAATAGCGATATGGAGGGGGTGGTATAGTAGAGTGTTGAGGTCATAGTGATATAGGAGGTAGGACAGTACATTATGTGGGCAATAGTGTCATGGAGGGTAGAATAGTACCGTAGAGTGGTAATAGTGATATTGGGGCAGGATAGTACAGTATGGGTGTCACAATGAAATAGGGGGGCAGTATGTGGAGTAATAATGATAATTACAGAAGCACACCATACAGTCCAAGCAGTTTATGGACTGCCCTTCCCCCAGGTACTCATCCTGCATGGTGCTGTCATTGTCCTGTTGTGGTCCACTGCTCAGCTGCCACAGCCTGGGTCCTGTCCCACCATCTTCTTTACGGAGATAATTTTTTTATAAAGTATATAAAAAACAAGGTACTTTACCACGGTATTTTGAGAAACCATTGGGAGTTGCTGCAGTGAATATCTGGGGACTCCAGAGAAAGGGGTACACGCTACACATGACCTATTATAATAAGCAGGTCATATAAAGGTGATTGCACAACTGGTGACTGCCCCTGTGGTGGAGGTGGAGCAAAGTGGTTTGAATACTGGATGTATGGACACACAAGATATCTAAATGGAAGAGTAATATTTGGAATAAAAGCACAAAAATACTTTTTTTTTTGTGTGTGTGTGTGTGTTAGAAGTGGGAATGTTTAATGATTAGGAGTTACACCGAAAAATAATTTATCACTTTGCGTGTTTGGTGTATATATGTTTACTGAATTTAACTACTAGCCTACAGGGCACTTATACCCCCTTCCTGTCCAGGCCAATTTTCAGCTTTCAGCGCTGTCACACTTTGAATGACAATTGCGCGGTCATGCAACACTGTACCCATTATCATTTTTTTAGACAGATAGAGCTTTCTTTTGGTGGTATTTAATCACCTCTGGGTTTTTTATTTTTTGCTAAACAAACCAAAAACTGAAAATTTAGAAAAAAATAAGTTTTTTTTAGTGTTTGTTTTAAAATTTTGTAAATAAGTGATGTTTCTCCTTCACTGATGTGCGCTAATGAGGCTGCAGTGATGGGCACTGATAGGCTGCACTGATAGGTGGCACTGGTGAGGAGGCACTGGTCAGTGGCACTGATGGGCATTGACAGGCATCACTGATGGGCACTGAAAGGCAGCACTCATATATGGCACTGATAGGCAGCACTGGTAGGTGACATTGATAGGTGGCACTGATAAGCAGCACTGATTGGCACTAATAGGCGGCACTGACTGGCACTGATAGGTGGCACTGACTGGTACTGGTAGGTGGCACTGACTGGCATTGATAGGTGGCATTGAAAAGCAGCTCAGATTGGCACTGATATGTGGCATTGATGTGCACTTGTAGGCACTGATAAGTGGCATTGATGTGGCACTGATGGGCACTGGCAGGTAGCACTGATGAGCACTGACAGCTGGCATTGATGGACACTGACAGGTGGCACTGCTGGGGCTACACTGATCATCAGGGCACACTGATCAGCAGTGCCCTGATGATGAGTGTACATGTCCCCTCTGAGGAATACTCAGCGTGACAGCTCGTGAGGAGAGAAATGCCGCTAACAGGCATTTCCCTATTTACATGCGATCAGCTGTGATTGGACACAGCTGATCACATGACCGAGCCGACATCTTCAGCTCTTTCTGTTTATTGGTGATGGGCGCTGCATGCTCCCAAAGCTGTGCACGCGCGGTTGGAGTGGGAGGACATCATATGACGTCCTCCCAGAATGAGAGAACCGCCTTGCGCCCGTCATTACCTTATATGGCGGGCGGGAGGCGGTTAAATGCATTTTTTTGGTGATTTATAATTTGATATTTTTATTGAGTTGCACTCAACTGTTTTTGTTTCATTTATATGCACTGCTCAAAAAAAAAATAAAGGAACAATTTAAAAACACATCAGATCTCAATGGGAAAAATATCATGCTGGAATTATATACTGATTTGGACTGGGTAATGTGTTAAGAAGGTATGGATGTCCTGCTGGAAGGTGAACCTCCATCCCAGTCTCATGTCTTTTGCAGTAACAGGTTTTCTTCTAAGATTACCCTGTATTTGGCTCCAGCCACCTTCCCATTAACTCAAAAAAGTATGAATACTTTTTCAAGGCACTGTAGTAGCCATTGTAGCACTCTTTGGCATTAAGGATTTCAATTAAGATTTTGGACAAGGTGTGAGGAATAGCTTGACCATACTCTAAATTTCTAAGACACTGTTATATCATCCTATCTATCCCTTCTTCAGCTTACTTCATATTACATCATTTCAGAATTTATATTTGTTCTCTCTCATTGAGATAATTCTCATGAAGTTATTTCTAAAAAGTTGAAAATTTGACAGAAGATATAAGGACATAAATAAACTATAAAACTATTGTATTTTTTTTTATAAAGCCCTGCAAGCAAATTCAAGCTTAACTGGACCACCACTGAGTTCTTTTTTATGTTATTCAGCTATTTTTTTTACCTTTTTTATAAAGATACAATAACATTTTCTTTTTTTATACTCTTGGTGGTTTTGTTATAGCTTCATTTTACATCGCTGTTCTGTCTCTCCAATCTAAGCATTGATAGTGTGATCTCTGTAACTTACAGTTGTGATGAGATAGCGATAACTTCAACCTCAGTTGGATACCACAGTCAGTGACTCAATCGATAAGACATCTTAAAGATCTTGTGAAGTTTATTCCATAAACTGAGAGAATCTTAGAACAATGAACATTCGATAGGTCAAAAGATCATAATGTTTCTACACTATGCCATGAGGCTAGAGCTGCAATGCCTTACTGGGAAAAGGGGAGGGCTATCTATACAGCATTAGCTAAACCAAAGGAAAGGGAGGAGCAGACACAAAATATAGAAAACTCTTAAAGGCATATGACAAGTCAATATGACAGTCATGTGAAACATGACACTCCCCGTCGAAATCTATGATTTCTATTATAATAAACTTTAGTTCAAGTCCAATATAAATAATGAAGATTTTTTTCCAGGAACATCTGCAAAACAAGGGGGAAGGGAAGAAAAAAGGAAAACAATGCAAACATTTAGCATAATACTTGCAGATGTTGGTCTCGAAAGTCCGGGCTGAGACAAGGAAATCCATATTCAGAGGGGAAGGCAGCAACATGCACGATTCCTTCTTACCTCCCTTTAAATCAGGTTGATGACTTGTCTTCCTCTTTGGGCACAAAGAAGTACTAGTTCCTTTATAGGCCTGAAGTAAAGGTGTGCAGAACCTTCTTTCATGGTGGATATAGCCAAGATGTGTCCTGAAATGCAGAAGTAGGTACTTCACGACTGCCGCAGTCAGCAGGGTTGAGGCTAGTGGGAACATAGTGCCATTGTCCAGGATTTAGAGATTGTTTCCAGGATTCCCACCTTTGTTGTCTCAGCAGTATCTTACCCTGAATGGTGAGAGGTGTAGTGACATGTAATGGATCATAAATGCTGTTTACTGTAGACAATACTCCTCGCTTTGTGAAGGGCTTGTCACAGGCTGATGCTTGAAATGTGAATGTGTCTTGTTTAACATTCCAAAGCAATCCAAGACTGCATTGAGTAACAGAAAGGTCAGATCCTAGTTGGAATTTCTTCACACTGACAGCATGGTCATCAGAAGGAAAGGCTATCATGACCTTGTCGCTGTTAGAGATGATTTTGTGAAGTCTGAGGTTTGCAGTGGCAAGCATGTTCTGGGTTCTAGTAAGAAGGTCAATAGCTTCTTCATTGGGCAGAGATTTGAGTCCGTCATCTACATAGAAATTCCTTTCGACAAACTGTCTTGCATCAAATCCAAATTCTTTCTCACCCTCTTGAGCTGTTTTCCTCAGTCCATAAATTGCTACCGCAGGAGAAGGACTGTTACCGAAAACATGTACCTTCATTCGATAGCCTATGACTTCATCGTTGACATCATTATTGCGGTACCATAGGAACCTGAGGAAGTTTCTGTAGTCTTCACGGACGATGAAACAGTGGAACATCTGTTGAATGTCAGCCATAACAGCAATTGGCTCTTGTCTGAAGCGAAGTAAAACTCCTCTGAGATTGTTGTTCAAATTAGGCCCAGTGAGAAGATTGTCATTGAGGGAGATGCCTTCATGACGAGCACTTGAGTCAAAGACCACCCTAATTTGATCAGGCTTGCAAGGATGGTAGACACCAAAGCATGGTAAGTACCAACATTCTTCTCCTTCCGTAAGAGGAGGTGCAGACTCAGCATGATCTCTCTCAAACACCTTCTGCATAAAGTCCACAAAGTGCCTTTTCATCTCAGGCTTCTGGTTCAAACTGCGATTTAAAGAAACAAACCATGATTCTGCATGTACCCTGTTGTTTGGTAGTCTCTTTCTTGGGGTACGAAATGGTAGAGGTGCTACCCAACTGTTGGAATCATCTTGGTAGAATTCTTTACTCATGGTTTTCAAGAATTCTTTGTCTTCTATGATAGCTACCAACCAGGGGCGGACTGACCATTTGGAGGGCCCGGGGTCAGTCAGTAGGGGGCCCCATGAGATGCCCCTGGTACCTTTTTCATAGACTTTTTTGAGTTTGGGCAAGGACACAGGGGCCCCTGATCCCCTATATCCCGGGGGCCCCATGAGTTGTCAGTCTGCCCCTGCTACCAACTCATTGTCTTTAGTGGTTACCTGTGTTGCCGATGTTGTCATCCCAGAAATTAAGATCTTTCTTATTGTCTTGTATGATGTGCTGTTGTGCACCTTTTTCAAACAGTCTTTCTTTCACAATATATTTGTGAGGTCGTTGTGCAGAACAAATTGTTCGCCCATTTGACAGAACATTTGTTTTAAAGCAGTGGTTCTCAACCTTTCTAACGCCACGACCCCTTAATACAGTTCCTCATGTTGTGGTGACCCCCAACCATAAAATTATTTTCGTTGCTACTTCAGAACTGTAATTTTTTGCAGTGGGAGGAATAGTGCCCCATCATTGGTGTCAGTGGGAGGAATAGTGTCCCATCGTTGGTATCAGTGGGAGGAATAGTGTCCCATCATTGGTGTCCGTGGGAGGAATAGTGTCCCATCATTGGTGTCAGTGGGAGGAATAGTGTCCCATCATTGGGGTCAGTGGGAGGAATAGTGCCCCATCATTGGTGTCAGTGGGAGGAATAGTGCCCCATCACTGGTGTCAGTGGGAGGAATAGTGTCCCAACGTTGGTATTGGTATCATCAGTGGGAGGAATAGTGCCCCATCATTGGTATCAGTGGGAGGAATAGTGCCCCATCATTGGTGTCAGTGGGAGGAATAGTGCCCCATCACTGGTGTCAGTGGGAGGACTGGTGTCATAGTGTGCCCCATCGTTGGTATCAGTGGGAGGAATAGTGCCCCATCATTGGTATCAGTGGGAGGAATAGTGCCCCATCATTGGTATCAGTGGGAGGACTAGCGCCCCATCACTGATGTCAGTGGGAGGAATAGCGTCCCATCGTTGGTATCAGTGGGAGGAATAGTGCCCCATCATTGGTATCAGTGGGAGGAATAGTGCCCCATCATTGGTGTCAGTGGGAGGAATAGTGCCCCATCATTGGTGTCAGTGGGGGGAATAGTGCTCCATCATTGGTGTCAGTGGGAGGAATAGTGTCCCATCATGGTGTCAGTGGGAGGAATAGTGCCCCATCATTGGTGTCAGTGGGAGGAATAGTGCCCCATCATTGGTGTCAGTGGGAGGAATAGTGCCCCATCATTGGTGTCAGTGGGAGGAATAGTGCCCCATCATTGGTGTCAGTGGGAGGAATAGTGCCCCATCATTGGTGTCAGTGGGAGGAATAGTGCCCCATCATTGGTATCAGTGGGAGGAATAGTGCCCCATCATTGGTGTCAGTGGGAGGAATAGTGCCCCATCATTGGTGTCAGTGAGAGGAATAGTGCCCCATCATTGGTGTCAGTGGGAGGAATAGTGCCCCATCATTGGTATCAGTGGGAGGAATAGTGCCCCATCATTGGTGTCAGTGGGAGGAATAGTGCCTATCATTGGTGTCAGTGGGGGGAGAATAGTGCCCCATCGTTGGTATTAGTGACACAAATGATGGGGCACTATTCCTCCCACTGACACCAATGATACTTACCTTGCTGACCCCTGCTCCAGCCTGGGCTCTCTCTCTCCCTCTCCCATCTACAGCCTGCAGAAGCAAAATTTGCACTTACTTGTCTGTCAGGGATCCCGGCTCCGTCTGCCGCAATCGCGGCTCTGTCCCCCGCGCATGCGCATTGGCGGCAGATCACGCCGGGACACAGGAACTAGGTCCCGGCGAGCCGCGGCTGACAGGACGCCGCGCATGCGCAGTAGAAACCGCGGGCGCGCCTCAGGCGTCCAATGACAGCCGGGGGCGCGTCCTAGCCAGCCAATGACAGTGCAGGGCGCACTATTTAAAGATGCCCTGCACTGTCACAAATTGCCGCAAGGTCTATATGTGATCCTGAATACCTGCTCCTGCTGTGACCCTGTTTTTTGACCCTGACTACGCTGCCTGCTCCTGTGATTGACCCGCTTTGTTCTGACTATTCTACCCGCTCCTGTGATTGACCCGGCTTTGTTCTGACTATTCTGCCTGCTCCTGCGTTTTGACTCGGCTTATCCTGACTGTTCCTACGGATTGATTTACCTGGCTGACCCTGCGTGTGACCCGACTACTCCTAGCCCGCCGATTCGGTACCCCGCTTACCCCACGGGGCCACTATCCGTACCACCCTGCTGGGGCCGCCATCCTCTTCACAGCTGGCTCTCCTGGTACCTACATACATCCCCGGAGGCCTCCTCGGCCGCTGGTGGCCCGCTCAGAGGTCGTGACCTGGCCCGGGACTGTTTCAAGTCCATCCCCACCATCAGGGGCCCTGGTGAAAGCACAGCCCGGGCTTAGACCCCACGCTCTGGGTAGGTCTACCAGCTGGCAGACGGAGGGCCCCGCCTGGCGGATCCTAACAGTACCTTGCGGCCATGACAGAGCCAGGAAGTGGACCGGCGTCCCTAGAGGATATTTGCCAGCACCTGGCAACTTTGACCCAGGCTTTCCAGAACTTCCACAGTCGCTGCGCCCGACTGGAAGACCGCATGGAGACATTAGCCCCCCAGACTCCCCCTGCTCAGAATTCCCCGTCTGTGGAACCTCCCGCTACCCCCCGGTATCCGGAGCGGTTGCCACACCCTTAGCTCCTGAACCCCGCGTTCCCCTGCCGGAGCGGTTCCGTGGGGACCGGAGCCGCTTCCGAGCCTTTCGGAACGCTTGCACACTATATTTTGACTTGCAGCCTCGCACATTTCTCCTCCGAGACCGTCAAGGTGGGGTTTATAGTCTCTCTCCTTCAGGATGAGCCCCAGGATTGGGCCCACCGTCTGATGGAGAGGCGCGACCCCCATCTTGACTCCGTGACCGAGTTCTTTCAGGCCATGGCCGTTTTGTATGACGACCCTCAGCGGGCTGCTTCCGCAGAGGCTACCCTATACTCTCTGCGACAGGGCCGCCGGGCAGCGGAAGAATACGCGTCCGATTTTAGGCGTAGCATGGGAGACACCAGATGGAACGATGCGGCCTTATGTCACCAGTTCCGCATTGGACTGTCTGAGCCTCTCAAGGACGAACTCGCACGAGTAGGCCTACCTGACTCCCTGGAAAGATTGATTGAATTGGCCATTCAAATTGACCGTAGACTAAGGGAACGTCGACAGGAAAGGAGCGGCCAGGGTCAAAGGGTGGCATGGATTCCATCAAGAGATACAACTCCAGCCCCAGGGAACCATCCGCGAAACACGGAGATGGGAGACAACTCGGAACCCATGCAACTGGGACTGGCCCGTTCCCACTTATCGGTCGAGGAACGCCAGAGGAGGCGCTCACTGAACCTGTGTCTGTACTGCGGGAAGCTGGTCACCAGGTGCGCTCCTGTCCCGCATGTTGAGGACCCCGACGACGCTGCGGTACCAGACACCATCCTGCCTTCTGGAAGCTTCCCTCGCGCTACAAACGGAACTGCGCTCCCGGCTTCTTGATGCTTCGGTAAGACTACCCGTTCTGTCTGGGTCACCCCTCCAGAGCCACGGTGGCCTGTTTTGGAAGGAAGACCGAATCATGGTCCCAGAAGAGGTGCGAACCTTGGTCCTAGGGCATTGCCACGACCATCCAATGGCAGGTCACTTCGGGGTGACGAAAACTCTAGAACTGCTACGGCGCTCGTTCTGGTGGCCGGACATGATCAAGGATTGTGAGCGTTACGCCCGGACGTGTCCCACCTGTCAAAGGAACAAACCCTCCAGGAGTAGGGCATGGGGATTGTTACGTCCATTACCTATACCCAAGCGGGCCTGGCAAATGATAGCCATGGATTTTGTGGTCGAACTCCCACCATCCCAAGGCCACACAGCGATAATGGTGATCGTCGACCGCTTCTCGAAGATGGCGCATTTCGTGCCCCTGGAGAAGACCCCATCGGCACCGGAAACGGCACGGATCTTCATTCGGGAAGTGGTAAGGCTTCATGGAGTCTGCGAAGACATTGTGTCGGATCGGGGGGTGCAATTCACCTCCAGGTTCTGGAACGCCCTATGTAAAGCGCTGGGAATCAAGCTGTCGCTCTCATCCGCCTACCACCCGCAGACCAACGGTCAAACCGAGAGGACCAACCAAACGCTGGAACAGTATTTACGATGCTACACCTCCTATCTCCAGGATGACTGGCTGACGTTGTTGCCTTCTGCGGAGTTCTCATACAACAACTCAAGTCACTCAGCTACGGGTCAATCGCCATTCTTTTCTAATTACGGGTATCACCCCACATTCCTCCCTGATCTAATGCCTGAAAATCTGGTACCCGGCGTCGCAGGACATCTTGAACTTCTTTTCCGTCAACAACAAGACTATTCAGGAAGCCATCGCTAAGGCCCAGGAGGACGGTAAGAAGGCTTTCGACAGAAAGAGAAGAGGAGATTTACTGCTTCAACCAGGAGATCTGGTTTGGCTGGCAACAGCCAACTTGAAGATGCTGTGCCCCTCAAAGAAGCTGGGACCCAAGTACATTGGCCCATTTCCTGTTAAACGAATGGTCAACGAGGTGGCCTACGAACTCGAGCTTCCGCAGACTTTCAAAATACATCCTGTGTTTCATGTATCTCTCCTGAAGCCGTCCAGACCGGATCCCTTCCCAGACCGAGAATCCAGACCTCCCGAGGCAATCGCCATAGGTGACCAGGAGGAATTTGAGGTGGAGGCTATCCTCAGTTGCCGAAGGAGGGGGGGCCAGACTCAGTTCCTGATAAAATGGAAGGGTTATGGTCCTGAGGAGAACTCCTGGGAACCCGCCCAGGACGTTCACGCGCCCAGGCTCATCCGGGAGTTTTTTTTCGTGCTCACCCGCGGTGGAGAGATCAGTGGGGCTCCCGGAGGGTGCCCGTCAGGGGGGGGGGGCAATGTCAGGAATCCCGGCTCCGTCTGCCGCAATCGCGGCTCTGTCCCCCGCGCATGCGCATTGGCGGCAGATCACGCCGGGACACAGGAACTAGGTTCCCGGCGAGCCGCGGCTGACAGGACGCCGCGCATGCGCAGTAGAAACCGCGGGCGCGCCTCAGGCGTCCAATGACAGCTGGGGGCGCGTCCTAGCCAGCCAATGACAGTGCAGGGCGCACTATTTAAAGATGCCCTGCACTGTCACAAATTGCCGCAAGGTCTATATGTGATCCTGAATACCTGCTCCTGCTGTGACCCTGTTTTTTGACCCTGACTACGCTGCCTGCTCCTGTGATTGACCCGGCTTTGTTCTGACTATTCTACCCGCTCCTGTGATTGACCCGGCTTTGTTCTGACTATTCTGCCTGCTCCTGCGTTTTGACTCGGCTTATCCTGACTGTTCCTACGGATTGATTTACCTGGCTGACCCTGCGTGTGACCCGACTACTCCTAGCCCGCCGATTCGGTACCCCGCTTACCCCACGGGGCCACTATCCGTACCACCCTGCTGGGGCCGCCATCCTCTTCACAGCTGGCTCTCCTGGTACCTACATACATCCCCGGAGGCCTCCTCGGCCGCTGGTGGCCCGCTCAGAGGTCGTGACCTGGCCCGGGACTGTTTCAAGTCCATCCCCACCATCAGGGGCCCTGGTGAAAGCACAGCCCGGGCTTAGACCCCACGCTCTGGGTAGGTCTACCAGCTGGCAGACGGAGGGCCCCGCCTGGCGGATCCTAACACTGTCAGCTGTCTTCCTTCTCTGGCCTCTCTCCTCTTCACTCGGTCCTGCAGCTCCCTCGATCTTCTTCGATCTGCGCGCTCTGCCGCTCGGCTCCTCCTCTCCAAGCTCCACCTCCTCGCCGGTGATTGGCCGCCTGTGTGCCTCTCCTGAGCTACAGTTCCGGTGGCCAATCAGCGGCGAGGAGGCGGAGCTGTTGAGTGATCCCGGAGGTGTGGCCAGGTTACAGGGGCAGCATATCATCCCGCCCACAGATCGCGAGACAGAGCAGCGGTGTCTCGGTTCCTAAGACCATCGGAAATATGTTTTCCGATGGTCTTAGGCGACCCCTGGGAAATGGTCGTTCGACCCCCAAAGGGGTCACGACCCCCAGGTTGAGAACCGCTGTTTTAAAGGAAGAGACTGAGTAGGACTTCTTGTCCTTGTCCAGGCAGACATTGCCTATGATGAGCCATCCTAGATCCAGATGCTGAGCATATGGTGCATTGTGTGGACCGTTGATTTGATGACGAACTTTGTGCACCCTTAGGATGTCTCGACCAAGTAACAGCAGGATATTGGCACTTTCATCGAGGGCTGGTATTTGGTTGGCTACGTGCTTTAAGTGAGAATGGTGAAAAGCAGCTTCAGGAGTAGGGATCTCCTCTTTGATGCTTGGAATCTGGTTGCACTCAGTGATAGTGGGCAAAGATATTTCCACATTGTCATTCAGAGGAGAAACTACAAGACCACTGGCTCTCCTACCTAAGACTTCTGTAGTTCCGGAACAAGTGCTTAGAGTATAAGGCAGAGCATCTCCAGTTATGTTCAACAGTTCAAAAAACTGTGTTCTTGCAAGAGATCTGTTACTCTGATCATCCAGAATAGTATACAGTCTTATGGCCTTTTCAGGTTGACCTTTGGGGTATACACGGACCAAGCATATCTTTGCACAGGATTTGTCGCAGAATCCTTCTCCACAGATCTCTGTACATGTAGAGAACACTGGGGTGGTAGGTGCTGCTTGATCTGGGCTCTCCCTGCCTTGCTTTGCCTCAGGAAGAGTGTTTGTGAGCGTAGTAGAGTTGTGCGAATATTGATGAAGAGCTTGCACATGGTCATCACTGTCATACTCTATACATTTGATGAGCGCTTTACAATCCTTTGCAAAGTGTTCTGTGGAGGCACAGCATTTGTAGCAAACCTCAAATTTCTTCAAAAGTTCCTTATGTTCTTGGAGGGTTTTCTTCCTGAAGCCGATACATTTCTTAAGTGGATGTGGTTTGTTATGTATTAGACACTGGCGATTTGGACCCTCAAATCTCTTGTTTTGATCAGTCTTTTCAAGAACTGTAGCAGGTACAGGTAGAACATTAGTCCTTTTCACTAACGCTGGACCTCTACGGTCTCTGTGTGACATATGTGTGTTCGTAGGTCTTGGAGAGAGTGTACTGAGAAGGTTACAGTCCCCATATGAGAAACTTGGGTCATTCTTAGTGTTTGCAATTCTTATGATGAACTCGCAGAAGTAGGAAAAAGAAGGAAAGGCAACTCTATGTTCTTCCTTATACTTTGATCCAAGCGCTGCCCATCTTTCTTGAATTCCATATGGTAGCTTGAGAATAATAGATTTGATGCCATGAGAGGTGTCAAGGTAACGGAGACCAGGTAAGTTGATGTCAGCCTTAGCAAATTGAAGCTCTAATAGAACATCGCTGAGTTCTTGAAACTTTAGATTGTCTCTAGCAGAAATCCTTGGGAAGCTTTGCAACCTTTTGAATAAAGCATCTTCAATGGCCTCTGAGCTGCCAAAGGTATGTTCAAGTCTGCCCCAAGCAGCATTAAGGCCTACAGCAGGGTTGTCAATATGAACTGCTTTGAATCTCTTGATGCGTTCAGTAGACTGGGGACCTAGCCATCTGATGAGTAGATCTAATACCTCTGTGGCATTGATGTCTAGGTCACTCATTGTGGCCTTAAAAGTGGATTTCCAGCCTCTGTAATTTTCAGGCTTGTCATCAAATTATAAAAAGGCATATGACAGTCAATATGACAGTCATGTGAAACATGACAATCGCATTTCTTGTATTTCTGGGCCCAGACCTCTGTCTTGTTTTAGGCCCCTTTCACATGGGCGGACTCCTCCAGCAGATTTACTTGCTCGGCAGGGGATCTGTCCACTGATTCCCGCTTAGCAGGCGGATGACAAGCAGTCTGTATCTGCTCTGCAGAAATGGAGTAGGCATAACCACAGCCCACCTATCCGTTTGCATGCAACTCTCATCCGATCCAATCCACTAGACGGATGGAGAATGGATCCCCATCCATCTGTTTTTAGAGGATCGGATTGGATGCAGGTGGGTGTAAACAGACACATGTCCCTTTACATCCCCCACTCCATAGAGAGTAATAGAAGGACTGATCGAGTTTGCCTGAAAAATGAACAGGTGGACCGAATCGGTCCACCCATGCGAAAGGGGACTTAGTGTATTGTAGGTTAAGAAATATAAACAATGTATACTTTTACTTGTTCAATACATTTAATAACAATTTAGTTTTGTGTGGTTTATTTGTCCTCAGGGTGTGTCAGAAGTGCTTAAGACATTATTTAAACATTTTAGTTCCAGAAAAAGTATTATATTGGTGGTGCCTAAGGAAGTGAGCTACACATGTGCAATGGTTAGACAGAAAAATGTCTAATGGTTAGATAGAAATACTTTTAAAAGTTAGATAGAAACATGCATAAAGGTTAGATAGAACATGTATAAAGGTTAGATAGAAACTTGTATAAGGGCCACAATACACTAATCAGTTTTTGATGCACTTTTGGGGTTCAAAAAGCAGAAGAAAATGCATGAAGAATGTTTCCCTTTAAATCTGATAGAACTCTTCACACTGCAGGTGGACTGCACTTTCAAAAGGGCATCAAAAACTAATCAGTGTGAAAGAGCCCTAAAAGTTGAATAGAAACATGTATAAAAGTTGAAAAGAAACAGAGTAATGGTTAGATGGAAACATGTATAAAGGCTGAACAGAAATATGTATAAAAGTTAACCTTAAACTCTAAGAAATAGTATATGGTCTATAGTCAATGAAAACTGTCCTAGCGTACCACTATTCCAAAAAGCATACAACATCAATTTGAAGAAGGATAGGGGACCTTTGCTGAACTAGACACAAGTCCAACACATGTTAACCACTTCGGGACACTTTCACCCCCTTCCTGTCCAGGCCAATTTTCAGCTTTCAGCGCTATCACACTTTGAATGACAATTGTGCGGTCATGCAACACTGTACCCATATGAATTTTTTAGCATTTTTTAAGACAGATAAAGCTTTATTTTGGTGGTATTTATTCACCACTGGGATTTTTTTTGCTATATAAATGAAAAAGTCCACAAATTTTGAAAAAAAGTGTTTTCTTATAAAATTTTGCAAATAAATAATATTTCATCATAAATCTTGGCCAACATTATTTTAGTAAAAAAAATAACCCAAATTAGTTTATAACCAAAAATTATAATTTTAAAAAAATTTTTTTTTTACATTTTTATTTTATTTTTTGATATTATTATTTATGTTTTTTTTACATGCTGTCACCCTAGCTGTACAGTGCCACCATGGTGACACTGTACTACTTGGGGGTGATGAAGATTTTTTTTTTTAACACTAATTGCTTTTACACCCAGAAATGCTGTAAAAGCAATCATTTCTCCTTCTCTCTGGCTGCATTCTTGCAGCCATTGAGAAATACTGTGTGAGCTGTGATTGGTCACAGTTTGTCACATGGTACAAGACTGTCATGAATAGCCTTGCACCATGTGACCTCTGTGATCATTCACAGATTTCACACGTAGTAAGCAATGATGTCAGAAGTGACATCTTGCTTACTACTCTGCATGTGATCACTGATTGGCCAATCAGTGATCACATGTTTGGGACCTCGCACAGAGGTCCCGTACGATGATCGGTGTTCCACTGTGTCCAGAGGACACAGCGGGCACTAGATCGCGATGCTGCGTGTTCCCAGGGAGCATGCACAGTCCAAAATGGTGGGCACCATTTATAAACGGCAACGCACCCCTGGACTGCCACCGTCCGGCCATTTATATACAGCGGCCAGACGGCAAGTGGTTAAAATCATTTTTTATTACAAAATAAATTTTATTACAAAAATGAAAAATGGCATGCAAGAAGGAATGTCAATATACATACATGTTAATAAAGATTTTATAGATTAAATTGATTATTATTATATATGATGGCACAGTGTAAAACTGGCTATATTCTGAGCAAATTGTGCCGGTTCCTGATGAACTGGTAATAATTCGCTCAGTGAGTGGCCCTGCCAGCTCCACTCCATTCAACAAAAGTTAATTGTTGAATCGACTTTTGTCAAAAGAGCCTGCTGGAAAACTTTCAAATGAACAGTGCTGTATAACATGTATGGAGGAATACGTTAGATTTCTTTTGTTTAAAGAATAGGTAAACACAACACTTCATAATCCTGATATGTGCCTGCTGTACCATGTACTTGTATGAAAAAGTATCCTTTTCTCTTTGTTTTGCTTCCTTTGTGTGAAATCCCTGGTGTTCCTACCAGTCCCTCTGCTTTCCTATTAGAAAATGATCACACTAGGCATAAGAGCAAAGCATGGTCGGTTGCATAGCTGTGCTGGTAATCTCAGTCTGCTCTTCTCCAATGATCAGGTCTGTTCTGACACCAACTTCTCCCCTGCACAACCATTCACTGGGAAGATCAGTGTACTGCTGTTTCTCCACCCTTACCTCTCTATGCAGATGAGAACAGAAGTTATGTGATGACTTTAACTTATGAAAAAGGGGGAAAGGTATTTATATTGTTATTTATATCTATACACAAATGTTTTACCTTTAATTTCTAGTTTAAACTGAATGGGTTGTAGTATAAAGGTGAGGGTTCACATATACCTTAACTAGCAGACTGAACAGAATAACTTTAACAGTGTATGACAAGCGTAAAGTAGAAATAAAGGCAAATAGTTTTTTTTATTTTGGATAGAGTAAGGGAGGGTTATAACCCTGTCAGTTTTATGCTTGCCATCTGTGTTCTATTGGGGAAATTTCCCTTCACTTCCTTTCCCATAGCCAAAAGAGGAATTGAGAAGAAAATCGTCCAAATTGAAGGAACCACAGGCTCTCACCAGGGTCACTGAAACTAGAGTCCCCATTGGAAGGTTTCCCCTCTGTTCCTGTTCTGGGGACAA